GTCTTTGGGTTGCTGTAATTCCCGTCACCTTTGATTGTGGATGCCAAAACGCTGATACTGTAATGCATATCCTTTGTTAGGCCGGTCAGGTTCACGTACAGTTTAGGAGCATCAATTAACTTATACACAATAGCCCCACCAGATCCATTTTCAAGGACTGCCCGATAGCTGACGTTGTAACGGACAATAATTCCATTCTGTTCAGCAGACCGAACCTCCTTCCACATGACAAATATGCTTGTTGAAGTCGTATTGGCAACACTTAAATTCTGAGGTGCACCGCTAGGTTCTGTAAATCAATGGCATAGTATGTTATATCTTCACCACGTTAGTGGCATTGCGCCGAGATATTTAGGGTCGTTTTCTGAGTCATGGAGTTGCATTCGTAAATGTAAATAAATGGAAACCTTTAAATAATCATTATCCGCTTTAGAAAAACACCACAAGAGCAAGAATGAACAACAAAGAAACATAGACGAAAACGGAGAGCGAGGATTCACACGGATTTCAATTAACAAAGTTGTAAATTTTTACGATGCACAAAACATAACGTTGCTTTTGAAAAAGGTGGACCACACAGAAATCATGCAATAAGATTTACTATATGGATTAATTACTCTTGGCTCGATTTGTTTCTCAGGTAATTAGTAAGACTATCATATTTACAAGTTACTTTAATAAAAAGTAAACTAATCTACGCTTCAAATCAGGGGCTGCGAAGGTTCCCGAGGGAACGTTTACGAAATGGAATTTTCAAATTTGAGTGTTTCCTTGAAGTTAAAAGGAAAAAAATATATATTAAAATTCCGTTTCCTAGGCTATAGACCTCGTTTGAAAAGGAACCACAAAGAACAAGAATTTAAGAGGTGACTGGTTCTTGAAAATTGAGCCTCTTCAAAATTTCTTTAATTTTTTACCGTTATTCATTATATTTAATAACGCTGAATGCAACCTTGCCCGGAGGCAACCTCGGCCGGATTGTCAAAGAAAGAAGTACTTTTCTGAGCCTCTCCCGTGTACAATATAATAAAACACATTAATAATTTCCTTTGGAGAACCACTTAAAATTATTACTCAACTTTTCTGAAAAGCTACAACGGAACGTAAACACAAACATCAGTCTTACACGTGGATAAGTGAGTATATCAAAGAACAGTACTTACTATCCTGGTCTGTTCTTACAACAATAGCAGGGCTACTCTCTGGTCCATCGCCTTTCGAAGTCGACGCTCGTATTGTGATGTTGTAATTGACATACTTTCTAAGAACCGTTAATTGCTTTGTACGGTTATCGGGGCCAGCCTCAGCACTTCACTTGTCACCCTCTGATTGTGAGCGGTAAAAAATGGTGTAATTCGTGATGATACCATTCTGTTCAAAAGCTGGAACATCATCCCACTCTACTAAGATGCTGGTTGAGCTTGTGTTACGTCCTGTAACATTTGAAGGGGCAGCAGTAGGTTCTGAAAAAAAAAGAAAAAGTTCACGGAAAAGGCCTTAAAAAATATCTGAAGTTACACACACTACAACAAAGTTATTGTACCGAAGGATGAACAGGACTCGCACGGGAGCCTTTATTCTTGACAGGGGCTGCGAAGGTTACACACTTATACTAAGGTAAATGGTTTTTCTAAAGACACGGAATTTACGACAACTTGTGGTGAAAGACTGGGTTCTAATGGGAATAAATATATGAAAATACATGAACAGTGTATCCAACTACCCGATCAAATGTTCCAAAAAAAAAACAACAGACAAACAAAACAAATAAAAAGTCTCCGAGCGTGCAAATAATACAAAATATGTGAAAAAAATTGTTTTGTGAGATTGGAAAAAAATCAAGAGAAAAGAATGCAGTTTATTTTTTCTTTACTCTTTTAAGCATGGCCAAACTACAAAGGGATCTAGCTTTGCCGCGTTTTTATTAAGATTACTGACGTAAGACTAACCAAACCAGTAGTACAATAAATACACATGTAGTTGGGTCAAATTGACTTTGTACAATATTAATAAACTGGCGTTAGCCTCTGTTAGTAATTTGCTCGTAATGATTTAATTGATTTCTGAGCGTTGTAACGTAATACAACTGTGTAACACCTAGAAATATAATAAATAAATTACATTCATAAGTAACAAATCGATTTTGGCGTTGTTTGAGTGGTCAGCAACCCTCTCCACTCAAGATAATAAACAGAAATCTATTACATGACTTGTACGCCCACCTTCCCCCAAACAATGTAACCCAAAATTTGTGACCATTTTGTAACAACAGGCAACATTGAAATGGGGGGAGAGAAGGAGATGACCGAAAGTTATAAGAATTGAGTTGTATCTCAACAACTCGTAAAACAATAAAATATTCGCTGATGCTAATGAATGCAGAACAAGAAAAATAAATAAATGTTAGTCATAACTGTTTTGTGATTTAAGCACGGCAAAGAAATACGCACCGATAAATTTAAAGCTTCAAATTCCAACCCGGGGAAACCCCCTTGCGTTTCTCGAGGAATTGGGGGTTTCCTGTTCTGACTTGAAAAAAATTAAGGAAATGATTTACAACGATTTATTCATTCGCTGCGCTCGGTCCGTACGTCATGACCTGGTGACTAATATTTTCCCGCCCGGCCCTCCCACTCAGTCAAAAAAGTCCATAATACGATCTTAGTAAAACTTTGTTAAAATCTAAAATCCTTTTGACCTCTTATAGTGTCTCGATGAAATATTAACTATTATTGAAAATGTTGATATCTTATCTTAGTGCGTTTACTGAAGAATCTAGTCGTAAAACAATCGAATATTAGCCAGTGAATACAGAACAGGATGAGTAAATCAGTGACTATTAGGCATTAGTTACTGTTAGGCATCACTTACTGTCTTCTAGTGTCCGGTTAACCTTGGCAGCACTTAATCGTCCATCTCCAACTGCAGTAAATGCCAACACTCTGATGCTGTAGTTTGTAAACTCATTCAGCTCCCTTATCGTCAGTGTTTGTCCTTTATCCTGATCATTGCTGGTGATATTGACCGTCTCTGTCTCGTTATTTCCATTTGGTAAGGCTTGATAAAGAACTTTGTAGCCTTTGATGATTCCATTTCGATCTTGAAGAAGAACTGGGCTCCAGCTGACAATGATACTTCTTGAAGATTCTACAGTAACCACGACAGCTTGTGGTGGAAGGCTGGGTTCTAATGGAAAAAAATAATCAATGGCAAATGAAAAGAAAAAAAAATCCAAAAAGGTAAAAGAAAAAAAGATTTTTTTCTTTACTCCCCAAAAGTCTTAAGTATGGCCAAATAACAAAAAAAGCTAGCTTTGCCGTGTTTTCATTAAGATAACTTACGCACGACTTTTTCAAACCAGTAGGACCATTAACACACATACGGTAAGGTCACATTGACCTTGTAAAGTATTAATATACTGGCTTTTCCTACTTTAGGTAGTTTGCTTAATTGATTTCTGAGCATTGTAATGTTCAGCAACTGTGCAACACCTAAAACATATTTTTAAAGAAATGCAAGCAGATCACAGTTCGAATCAAACTTCTTCCTACTCAGGTTATTTTAGTCTAATTATAACTAGATAAGGAAGCATATCACGCTACTATACACAGCAACAAGATTTATTCTTGAGTATAGTGAAGCTTTTAGTTACTACAGGTATCTCCTATAGCTAATTAATTCAGCGTTGATCAGTACCAACCGCGACTCAGTCACTATAATCTATGAAGAGACAGCAAAAGTATATTTTATCCTAAAATGACAACAAGATGAAGGACTCTAACTCACGGTCTTCCAGTGTTTGGTTAACCTTGGCAACACTTAATGATCCATCTCCTATTGCAGTAAATGCCAACACTCTGATGCTGTAGTTTGTAAACTCATTCAGTTCCTCTAATGTCAGTGTCTGTTCTTTATCCTGATCATTGATGGTGATATTGACCGTCTCGTTATTCCCATTTGGTAAGGCTTGATAAACAACTTTGTAGCCTTTGATGATTCCATTTCGATCTTGAATAGGAACTGGGCTCCAGCTGACGATGATACTTCTTGAAGATTCTACAGTAACCACGACAGCTTGTGGTGGAAGGCTGGGTTCTAATGGAAAAAAATAATTAATGACACATGCATGAAGAGTGTATCACTTCTCAAACTACCTAATCAAATGTTCCACAAATAAAAAGAAACAAACAAACAAAACAGATGAAATCAGACTGAGAGCATACAAATAATACAAAATACGAAACAAACTTCATTCGACATTCCTAAAACCTAAGGGAAAATGTTTTTTTTCTTTTTACTCACCTAAAGTCCTAAGTATGGTAAAATAGCAAAACAAGCTAGCTTTGCTTTGTCTCTATTAAAGTGCACCTAAACCCAAAAATTTTTTTTCGCTCAAGTGTGTTGTTCGACTAAGTGTGTTGTAGGAGGATGTAGCAACAAGCGAAATTTGCAAGAGGGTATCACGCTTCATACATTCCTCATACAACACACCTGGTCGGCATATTTCGGACAATATCGACCACAACCTTCCCAAACAAGTGAAAATGTATGAAAAGCAGACTTTCGTGTTCTCGATTTGACGTCACATTATCCGCTAGAGCCATTCCTCTTTAAACTCGGTCGTGGGGCAAGATGGCGGCCGATTTTCCGTATTTTGACTAGGCACAGAAAATTTAAGATTTAAGCAAATTAAAAAATTTTTGCACAGAAATACTCCAAAAAATAAGCTTATTTCGTTAAGCGAAAAAAAATTTTTGGGTTTAGGTGCACTTTAAAACANTTCAGCAACTGTGCAACACTTGAAATATATTTATAAAGAAATACAAGCAGATCACAGTTCGAATCAAACTTTTTCCTATTCAGGTTATTTCAGTCTAAATATGAAAAGATAAGGAAGTATATCACGCTAATATCCACAGCAAGAAGAATTATTTTTGAGTATAGTAAAGCTTAGTAGTAGCAAGTATGATAGATATTGCAAGAAATAGACAACTTTTTTGAGAGACATGTCTCGGCATGCTTGTGCCATCTTCAATCAATGAGTAACAGAACGTGAGTAATTATATAACAGACAGGTTGATGAATAAAATATTTAATGTATGATGTAATACAAAAGCGGGTACAACGTGACACCAAACATCAAAGGTGTGAACTAAAAAGCTAGAAAAGTGCGTAATTACTAAAAGAAGGAATGACCTAAAACCACCTACAACCACCCACAACAACCGCCTACAACCATCTAAAACCACCTTCAGAATACTATTGTGTGACAATTTGTGACAATTCAAATGCACACCGGAAATGTTGTCGTATGTCTCGCATTAGTTACTAACACAGGGAGCCCAGACAAGCGACGAGTCTGGTTGTTTATTCGAAATATAAAGGAATGTTAGGACAATATTGAAGTGTCTTATTATCGTACACTTATATCATGAAATGTCTGAGTTAAAGCTCAAAATAAATGTAAACCTACCTCACTTGCTGTGTATTGTCGTTTCTGTAGTTCTAAATGGCGAATCTGACGTTATAACGTATAGTAACAGTCGACGCAAAACCCACCAAATCGCTCAAATTCGCCATTTAGAGCCACAGAAACGACAATACACAGCAAGTGAGGTACGTTTACATTTATTTTGAGCTTTAACTCAGACATTTCATGATATAATTTTTACGATGATAGAACCTTAAATATTCTCCCATACATTCCTTTATATTTCGAATAAACAAACAGACTCGTCGCATGTCTGGGCTCCCTGTGGTTACTAAAACAAGAAATGATCTACAATGACCAACAGTGACCAACTGTAAGATCCCTGCAATGAAGTAAAAGAAGATTTTAGAAAAAAAGACAGAAAAAAAAAGAACAAAACAGGAGACTTGTGTGCATTAACGTAACGTGTTTGATAACAGAATTTCTAGCTTCGAGATAAATTTACGGTGTATTATAATGAAACACGTCGAATGACGATAATGATTAAAAAATGCGAAAAACCTTTGGCTTAAGATGTCTTTGAGGGTCCTATATAACAAGCCTCCCATAACTTTACACTATCATGAGGCTATGAGACGTATTCGGCCTGTCAACACCTTTAACTCATTGATATTTTTAGACAGCAAAACAAAAAGGCCATCACACCATAATGGGGCTAGAAAGTCACGCAAGCCACGCCACAATTTTTATTAACACTTATAATAGCTCCCTGTAGATCATTGTTGGTCATTGTTAATCATTGTAGATCATTTTAGGTCATTCCTTGTTGCCACGGTAGCTCATTGTAGGTCATTGTAGGTCATTCCTTGTTTTAGAAACTAAGTGTAAAAAATTCTCTTGGTGTTTTTCCCTGGTTATGACATGCGAGACATGCAACAACATTTCCGGTGTGCATTTAAATTGTCACAAATTGTCACACAATAGTATTCGGAAGGTGGTTGTAGGTGGTAGTAGGTGGTTTAAGGTGGTTGTAGGTGGTTTTAGATGGTCGTAGGTGGTTTTAGGTCATTCCTTCTTTTAGTCATTACGGTTAAAGATCGTACTCCTGATGCTCTAAAATCCATGGTAGTTTATCAATTTTCTTGTGCAGGATGTAATTCCCGTTATATTGGCGAAACTAGTCGCCACTTCTCTACTAGGATAAAGGAGCACACGGAAAGCGATAAAAACTCGCATATTTTTAAGCATTTCAACACATCTCTTTCTCGTAAGAACAAATACTCCCTTTCTTGCTTTAGCATTCTGGATTCTGCTAACAACTCAATTGATTTAAAACTCAAAGAAGCTTTTTATATAAATAAGATCAAACCTGAACTTAACAAACAATTACAGCATTATAACACTTTTCTAGCGTTTTAGTTCAAACCTTTGATGTTTGGTGTCACGTTGCAATTAGTACCCGCTTTTGTATTACATCATACTGTAAACATTTTATTCATTTAATTGTCTGTCATATAATTACTCAAGTTCTGTTAGTCATTGATTGAAGCTGGCAGAAGCATGCCGAAACATGTCTCTCAAAAAATTTGTCTATTTCTTACAATATAGTAAAGCTGTTAGTTACCACAGGTACCTCCTATAGCTTATAAATTTAGCGTTACACAGTACCAAACGCAACTCAGTCACTATGATACATGAAGAGACAACAATAGTATATTTTACCCTAAAATGACAAAACAGATGCAGGACTTAAACTCACCGTCCTCCAGTGTTTGTTTAAACTTGGCAACACTTAATGGTCCATCTCCTACTGCAGTAAATGCCAACACTCTGATCCTGTAGTTTGTAAACTCATTCAGTTTCTCTAACGTCAGTGTCTGTTCTCTATCCTGATCATTGATGGTGATGTTGACCGTCTTTGTCTCGTTATTCCCATTTGGTAAGGCTTGATAAATAACTTGATAGCCTTTGATGATTCCATTTCGATTTTGAATAGGAACTGGACTCCAGCTGACTATGATACTTCTTGAAGATTCTACCATAACCACGACAGCTTGTGGTGGAAGGCTGGGTTCTAATGAAAAAAATAACGAACGACACATGCATGAACAGTGTATCACTTCTCAAAGTACCTAAGTAATAAAATGTTCCACAAACAAAAAGAAACAAACAAACAAAAGAGATGAAATCAGACTGAGAGCATACAAATAATACAAAATACGAAACAAACATAATTCAATAATAATTTTAATATTTATATTGCGCAAATTAACATGTGGATATGATCAAATGCGCATCACAACACTTTTTGGCGGACTTTGGCCGGACTGCATCAGCAGTTTACAAACAATTGAAGGAAACTTATTTGAAGATGCCTTCTCCCCCCAATTTCCAGTAAACAGGCCAGACCACATCACAGTAATCCCGAGAGTGGGTTCTTTAACGTCCCCTGCCTAACCAAATTAACTAATCCCTAGATACAGGAGACGGGACCTACGGTTTATTCGTCCTTATCCGAGAAGACTAGAATGTATATCCATTTCTTGATATTATAGAGAGGTAGCGCATTCTCCTCAGTTATTTTAAGACCTTGAGTGTTGGTCCGGCCGGGGCTCGAACCATCGACCTCGACCTCCCGCACACCAGACCAGCGCTCTAACCAATTGAGCTAACCGGGAGAGGGTCATTCGACATTCCTAAAACCTAAAGGAAAATTTTTTTTTCTCTTTACTCTCCTAAAGTCCTAAGTATGGCAAAATAGCAAAAGAAGCTAGCTTTGCCGTGTCTTTATTAAGATAACTGATGGAGGACTTTCTCAAACCAGTAATGCAGTAAACACACATACAGTAAGACCAAATTGACCTTATACAGTATTAATATACTGGCGTTCCCTGGTTTCAGTAGTTCGTTTTATTCATTTCATTGATTTCTGAGCATTGAAACGCTCAGCAACTGTGCAACACCTGAAACATATTTATAAAGAAATACAAGCCGATCACAGTTCGAAACAAACTTTTTCCTATTTAGGTTATTTCGGTCTACATATAACTAGATAATGAAGCGTATCACGCTACTATACACAACAAGAAGAATTATTCTTGAGTATAATAAAGCTGTTAGTTACTAAAGGTACCTCCTATAGCTCATTAATTCTGCGTTTCACAGTACCAACCGGGACTCAGTCACTATGATTCATGAAGAGACAGCAAAAGTATAATTTATCCTAAAATGACAACAAGATACAGGACTAACTCACCGTCCTCCAGTGTTTGGTTAACCTTGGAAACACTTAATGGTCCATCTCCTACTGCAGTAAATGCCAACACTCTGATCCTGTAGATTGTAAACTCATTCAGTTTCTCTAACGTCAGTGTCTGTCCTTTATCCTGATCATTGATGGTGATATTGACCGTCTTTGTCTCGTTATTCCCATTTGGTAAGGCTTGATAAATAACTTTGTAGCCTTTGATGATTCCATTTCGATCTTGAATAAGAACTGGGCTCCAGCTGACGATGATACTCCTTGAAGATTCTACAGTAACCACGACAGCTTGTGGTGAAAGACTGGGTTCTAATGGAAAAAATAATGTATCACACATGCATAAACAGTGTATCACTTCTCAAAGTACCTAATTAATAAAATGTCCCACAAACGAAAACAAACAAACAAACAAAAGAGATGAAATCAGACTGAGAGCATACAAGCAGATCACAGTTCGAAACAAACTTTTTCCTATTCAGGTTATTTCGGTCTACATATAACTAGATAATGAAGCGTATCACGCTACTATACACAACAAGAAGAATTATTCTTGAGTATAATAAAGCTGTTAGGTATTAAAGGTACCTCCTATAGCTCATTAATTCAGCGTTTCACAGTACCAACCGCGACTCAGTCACACATTTTTGTACCATTTCTCTATTCTTTGGGCCTTTTTATTTTTATTTTTCTTTGCCCAGAGGCTCCTCTCTAATTTTGAGTTTTTTTTTTTATCCATGAGAAAAGATTTTCCACTAGCAGTGAACTTTCGCGTGTGAATCTTCTCAAGTGCGCGATTAAACAAAATATGCAAATAGCATGAAATTGCCGCGAATATTCCCCCAGGAGGTTTGCCCATTTACGAGATTATGACACCCTCCTGAATTATTAACTTTTATTTGAAAATACGTTTTCCTAAATAAGTCGGTCGCTTTTTGAGATTTCAATTTTTTTCTTTTTGTAAACGTTAGGTAAAATGCTTAACTTCACTCTAGTCCAATAAAAGAAAAAACGATTCTTTTCGGCCTCTGAAGGTGGGAAGTAACCTTAATATAACATGAACGTAAATAAATCTACAAGGAAAAGGTTTGGTCAGGAAGATGCCAATCGAGTCTACATCCCTTCCCCCATAATGAAGAAGTTAGACAACGATTGGTGTGTTATCCGCATGGACTTCAAAACAAAAAGCATAACGATTTCAAAATTTTTGTAGAAACTGAGAACGTGAATTAGACTATAAAACAGTTTGCAAGTACACAACAAAGCTGAACATTTTCCACCTCATAAACTTGAATTGATTGCTTGGAGAAAAAACACCGGGTTATTTTTTCTCGAACAAATTCTGCATAAAATATCGCAAAAGCAAACAAAATTAAGTAATGAAGATTCAACGTCATTATCGCTTTGTATCCTCGTGAAAAATAACTCCTTTCAGATCCACTTTTTACAGAGTTTACGAGAAATATATCTATGAGTTGTGTAGGGGCGGCAATGATGTATTTTAATATTAAAATAAAAAGAAAACAGATGCCAAACGTTAACTTACTGTCTTCCAGTGTGTGGTTAACCTTGGCAACACTTAATGGTCCATCTCCTTCTGCAGTAAATGCCAACACTCTGATGCTGTAGTCTGTAAACTCATTCAGTTCCTCTAACGTTAGTGTCTGTTCTTTATCCTGATCATTGGTGGTGATATTGACGGTCTCTGTCTCGTTATTTCCATTTGGTAAGGCTTGATAAATAACTCTGTAGCCTTTGATGATTCCATTTCGATCTTGAAGAGGAACTGGGCTCCAGCTAACAAAAATACTTTTTGAAGATACTACCGTGACTATGACAACTTGTGGTGAGAGATTGGGTTCTAAAGGGAAAATAATCAATGACAGACACAAGTAAAGCGGATTATCATTCGATGGATTTTTCCCCCATTTTCAATGTCTGGGAGCCCACCACGTGACCTGCAAATAACTGCCTACAAATTACGGTCTGCTCGTGCGTACTACCGTCTAACTCCGTTTTTGCTGCAAATAATATTCTGCTCATGCGCAGTAGTAACCACGCCCTTGTGGTCGCTCTTGTGGTTGCTCTCGTGGTCGCTCTTGTGTGTAAACATTATCAGAATCGTTGAAAAACAAGAAGACCGTAACAACCATTACGGCAACCTCTTCGATTCCTGTAGCTGAGAGTGCACCGCAACCACTTCTCACAGCCTCTCAGGAAGAGCATATTCTAAATGAGCTAAGTATCGAGCAATCTAACACGCAGCAGACAGTTAATAATTTTTACAACTGCACTTTCAACTTTTAAAGTGAACTTTTAGAGATTGTGTTAATCAATGATTAAAAATTAAGTGCGTGGGAACATCATCCATTGCACCACTCCCTTCCCAGGATTAACTCTGCTACCCATAGGCTTAGGCAAGTTAAGCCAATATACCACTTTGTAATACTGAGCGTTTCAAAAATTCTTTTATCAATAGACTTAGTTTTAAGCATAACTTAGCTGTAAGTGATTTAATACATATTTTAGCTCATTACAATAGATATGTAACACTTGATATGTATTTTATCAGTGAAATAAAGACTATTTATTTATTCATTCATTTATTTAATGAATACACTTTCCCTTTTTTTTTCGGATTTCGAATCCTTGAAGACTGTGAACTTGTTCCTGAAAGTTTCAGCCATTTAAAGGCATACATTTTGTTAATTAGCAGTTGACTGTACGTACAATTAATTTTTTAAAGTCGACAGTTAAATTGTTTAACTGAGAAAGAAACCATTTGATCTCTGGCAGCAGTGCGCGCTGCCGCTTCCCCCAAAAAATTGAAAACAAACTCGCTTGCCGCTTCCCCCAAAACAATTGAAAACAAACTCGGTGATCGAATGATAAAACAATTATTGAACTCGGTTATCGCATAAAAATATCGTGATTTGTTAGTGTCTCGCAGATCAATTATTTGCCTCAGCCTTAAGCTTCGGCAAATAAACGGACAAGTCACGATATTTTGCTCAACCTCGTCCAATAATTGTTAATTATTTCTCTCAGTAGCTAAGAATATGTTCCAAAAAAAACAAACGTAAAAACAAACAAATGGAAATATCGATAACTATGAAGCGTAATTGACCGTGACATTCGTCTCGAATGTGGCTAAATGAATATTTTGAATGTTAAATATATGTTATTGACCAGCCGGAGGTCCCTATTGGGAAAAACTGTGCCCGAGGTCTTGGATAGACAGAGGGCACAGTTTTTCCCAATACGGACCGACCTACGCTGGTCAATAACATTTTTATTTTTTTCTAACACATAAAAAAAATGATTGCCATAAGAACGCGGATGATTTAAGGCTACACTTACGAGTTTAATTACGGGAAAATCCTCCATTAACTTACCAATTTGATAGCGAATGGATGTTAAAGAAAACAGACGTTATCCAAATTAAAGAGTGAGCTTTCACCGAAACATTTCCATTTGTAAAGGTAACTTAAGAGGCTGTCCGCCTAAGAACGGATAAGGCAAACTTCGGACCTTCACCGATTTCCCTAATTTTTACTGTAAAAGTCGAGACTTCTATCCCATGAACAAATGTTGCGTTTATTTTGAACCAGTCTGGTTTTTTCATTTTTTACGAGATATTTTTCAAGGTGACCTCAAAGGCACCCAGTTTCCCCCCCGGACCTCCATAATTTAGCTACAAAAGTCGATCGCTGCTGTAGCCGTATTTTCAATTCTAACGAGCTTTCTATTTTATATGTCTAAGATCAACCTTTTGCCATTACGTTAACGGTAAAATAATCACAC